GCCCGCCACAACGCCTGGCTATTTTTTTGGTTGCAGCCGTCATTGTTGTTTTGGCGGGTCTGGGCTGGGGATTCGAACCCACCACCTTAGGTGTATGTAGCTGACGCCTTAGCCGGTTGAGCTATAGGCACCGAGCCTACACTGTTTCTTATTAGCCCCCATTCTCTTAAGAATGGAGGGAGTTGCAGCTATAAGCCTGCTAAGAGCAGATGGGCTGGGGAAGAAACCTTTAGGAGTCTTTTCTCACAAATTAATGGAATTTTGCATAATCTCACCTTCATTTTAGATAAACCAGAGAAAATAGCTTTTGTTTTCTGGAGGGATTTGGTTATTATTTGCCAGATGTCAAATATTTCCTTTCACAGTTTAAGCTGCTTCTGATAGACACAAATCATTGCCTCTCTGAACTGTAGCTTTTGGGGGGGGGAGTAGAGCCCATTTCTATTCTGAAACTGTGGAATTGCTCGATTTTGTTTAAATACTTAGTTAAAGTCAGACTTGTCCTGCGTCCTGCACCCAGAAAATGTGCCATATATCCATGCATTGTACTCCACTGGGTGGGAAGCTACTTAACTCCCTCTTCTTGAATTTGAGATTTCCCAGGTCTGTGATTGTTAATTTCCTCATTTCAAACCAGTACTGAGTGCATGTAATGCTTGTTTTTCCAATCTTGTGATACTTTACTTAGGAGAATGTTCTCCAAATCCAACCAGCTTCTCAATTTTTAATGACCAAAATCTCTATTAGCTTAATATTTTTTAATCTATTCTACACTCACAGTATTGATTATGGGTATGTCCTGACAGCCTGAGAAATCAATCTTGTGTGTACTACGTCTCACCTTTTGGTCTGTTCTTGTTTTTGTAGGGGGATATGAGACCTTCTACTCAGAATATCCTGAGTGTTGTGTGGATGTGAAACCCATTTCACAAGAGAAGATCGAAAACGAGAGAGCCCTCATCAGCCAGTGTGGAAAACCACTGCTAAATGTCAACTACAGGCCAGCTTATGACCAGGTAAGTGGTGTGGAAGAGGCATCCTGAGTGCCTGCCTTTGATCCTTCCTCTCCCCACTCAGCAACAGTAGCTGGTTGCGGATCAGCGTGTTGGCCGAATCCCCTAGCTTTAGAGGGCTTCTGTTGCTTGCCAACTTGCATTTCCATCCAAGAGTAAATGGGCTTCCTTCCAGCAAACAAGCTGACAAGAGCCACAGGATGCTTGGCAGCATCTGAGGAAAGGGGGGGAAGTGAATGATACATTATTATCATCCAGCTCAGAGAGGCTTCAGAACACTGGTTTAGGTTTCCCTGAAGATGTTTCGGAGCTGACTCCCAGCTTCCTGTGTTGCTCCTCTTTGTAATTGTTTGTGCTCCCCAGTTTCCGCAAACATCCTAGTACCTGTCAAGATGAGTCTGGTTGGTATTTTTAACTGAAACGGGACAGAAGTTGGGGAAAGGGAGGTATTATAGAGAAACTCCTTTTTGGATGACAAAGAGTGCTCCTCTGAAGGTTTCTGAGACTTACAAGTTTGTACATTCTGAAACCAGGGGCAATTGAGAGACAGCGGAGGTCTTCATGTTTCCATAAATGTGTGCGGGTGGTTGTTTTGGATTTTCTCTTTCACCTTCAAAAATGTGTGCTTTGTGATAAGTCATTAAAGGAAAAATGTAGTAGGCGACCTTAGTCAGGGGGTTTTCTGACACCATGCAGGAAGATAAGAAAGAGGCAGGTGAGAATCCTCAGAAACCAGAGATCAAAACCTACCTGCCTGTTTTACAGAGGAGAAAAATATTGTTCTCTGGCTAGTGAGGTGATTCTAGCTGGCTCAGTGCAGCATCAGGCTCAGAAGCCCTTTCTCTCAATACACTGTTCTGCTTTCTGGAAAGAGAAATAAGAATTGGGACCTTGTTCTGTTTTCCATGTGCCCTCTAATCTAAATACCTGACTCGGTGGGAAGAGCTTTTCAAACATTTCCCATAAACCAAGAACCAGTTTAAGTCATATGAAGAAAGACTTCCAGATGCTAAAATGCCAGCTAATGACCTTTCAGGGTGCATGAGAAAAACAACTTTTTTAATGAAAATTAAAAAAATTATGCCAGCTCTCTGCCATGAGCAAAACCCTGTCCCTGGGGATAAACTTCAGAGTAAAGCCAGGTGACCTTTTCTTGAATTGGGATCCTTGGTCAAGAAGCCTGTTAGCTTGGCCAGATGCCAGCATTTTGATTTTGTTTGTTTTCTTTTATTAAAAATCCTCCAGTGTATGATGAACCCCTGGTTATCAAGCTGTGGGCAGCTAGCCTAACTGGATTTCTGTTTTTGTTTGTTTATTAGTTTGGGTTGTGTTTTTCCCCTAGTTTCTCAGAAAGTGAAAGAGAAATAAGAATTGGCAGTATGTTGTGACAGCATGGCAGACCTTTGGCCAGACAAGGGGTGGGGAGGCCCTGACAAACGTTTCTTCATGATTTCATCTGGGGAACCCCCTCATGCTACTTCTTAGAAACGCTTCTGCTCTGAGAGAAGTCAGGCGAGGCTGGGTTAACCTTTGGGGTTTCGGAAGGCCTTTGGCTTCTTCCTTTTGAGTCTAAACAGAAGTTCAGAAAGGGAAAGAAATGTGGTTTTAGGCTGAGCTCCAGGGGAAACTAAATAGGGTCTCAGGACTGGTGTGTCAGTGACTTCCAAGCACTTGGGGGAAGGAGCAACCTTGAGTCAATTGTCCAGCCTGCCTCTTGGAGTGTGAGCCTATTGGTGTGGACCCATAACTGGTCAGTGGCTGGGTGAAACTGGATTTGGATCTCCGATCCCTTTTCCAAAGAACTTCCTATTACTTCTCTTGTCCTCCTGGTTCCTAGCCAGTGGGGAGCTGGGCCCAGGGAGAAGATGCAGTTCAGGCCCAAACCAGACCTGTCTGGAATTGGCTAGCCTCAGCACCCACGCTATGTCTTCACCAGAAAGAGAAGCCATGTTCTATTTATTTTACTCTTCAGCTTCAGATGATATTGGCAGCTATGTCATGTGTCAGGTTTTAATGCATCTATTATCCTATTTATGCATTACCCAGAAAGGATAGGTTATTATCTCCAGTTTACAGATAAAAGGTCAGAAGTTAAAGATCAGATCACGTATGATGCACTTGCCCAGGTGTTTAACCACTGTACTAGGAAGGCTGCTCTGTATGTATGTTTAGGGAAGTTTCTAGAAGGAGATGCAAATGGATCTTTTGAGGAAGAGAGGAAGGAAGGAAACTTTTCCTTCTTATTTTTTTTTTACCTAAAATACTTGCTTTAGATTGAGTCAGAGAAGGCCTTGGCCTTGCATCTCATGCTAAGCACTCAGATTTGGGTTTCAGTCCCAGCTCTAACACTGACCAGCTCTGACTTGAATAAGTTGTTTCATTTGTGCCTCAACTTGCCCATCTGTAAAATGGGAATAATGTTACTTACCTCACAAATTGGTTATGAAATTGGTATGATGTTGGTACATCTAAAATGTTAAGCCCTGAGGGCCTGCTATAGTAGGTGCTAATAAAAACACTGGTGATGGTTATTATTACCTTGTGTAAATTCTCTAAAAGTTTCTCCCAAGTGGCCAAACTGGCCTTTGCTTAAACGCTTCTCAGGAAAGAAAAGGCATACTCCAGCTGTGGGGTAAATTGAGAATTGCCTGTTACTGGCCCTTGTCATGTACCCTTTTCCCTGTTACAGATCTGGCTAAGAGTTTCCATTCTATTATTCTAGGACAGGAAATGGAAACACAGGAAGCAGATGGGTAATATGGGAAAGGCTCCCAGCGTGAGAGCCACTGTCTGTCAGCCCCATGCTTCCCTCTGAATCTTCCATTGTTCTGTCTGTCACTGGCATTTCTTGCCATCTTAGAGAGAACCCTGTATGTTCTAAGACTTCCAGAATCTAACTGACTGGAAGTTCTTTTTAGCTTAGACTCAGGGTATACAGTCTCTGGTTCTCCCTTTATCTGTATCCTCCTTAACTAGAAACCCGGTGTTGGGTGGCTTCCCAAAAGGGTAAATCATCTCTCAAGGGTAAAGTGTAAGCATCTCTCACCACCACCCCACCAGAGCCTCATCTGAAGAAGGTCAAAGGAAGGGGAAGCCTCTCTGGTCATAGCCTAATAGCATTTCTTAGTTTACAGATTCTGGGTAGGTAGTGGTTATTTTTAGTTCTAAGAAGTGTGCCTTTTTGGTGGGGGAAGAGGCACATTTTAACATCTCTAAACTCTGGATGAATCTGGGGATCAACAGTGTCAGGTTTAATGAAATGTGTTATATGTTAGGGCTGGCCAAGCGCAGTGGCTCACATCTCTAATCTCAGCACTCGGGAAACCTGAGGCAGGAGGATCTCTTCAGCTCAGGAGTTCAAGATGAGCCTGAGTAATATATGCCATCTTGGGCAGTGCCTGTGGCTCAAAGGAGTAGAGCGCTAGCCCCATATACTAGAGTTGGTGGGTTCAAACCTGGCCCCAGCCAAAAACTCCAAAAAAAAAAAAAAAAATATATATATATATATATATATATATGCCATCTCTACTAAAAATAGAAAAACTAGCTGGTCCCAGCTAGTCAGGAGGCTGAGGCAGGAGAATGGCTTAAGCTCAGGAGTTTGAGGTTACTGTGAGGGTGCCATGGCACTCTAGCTTGGGCAACAGAAAGACATCATCTCAATAAATAAATAAATAAAATGTCAGGGCTGTAAAGGAGGGCATGTGCCTTACTTCTTTTTACCTGTAAAGAAACTGAGGCTGCCCCAGGGTGAATGGCCTTGCTGGGGTACTGTCAGGGCAGCTTGAACTTCACTGGCTTTTGATCCTTCCCACCACACCTTGTGATTTATTATTATCCTTATGGAAGGCGGCCAGCATTTCCTACCTTCTCGATATTTGCAAAAAATGAAACTTTGCTGTGTGGGTTTTGCTGTCACTGAGTCACAAGGCAGTCATGTAGGGTAGAGAGTTGGCCGGGATGAAGGTACCACCCACATTCTTGGTTGAAATGCCCTGGCTCTGAACTCTCTCCCTACCTGGAAACCAAGAAGTGAACCCTCCCACTTTGAGAAACAAATAGGTCAGGGTTGTTTTTTCCTCTCTCAAATAAGCAAGCTAATCCAACATTTCCTGGTTCTCCTTTGCCCCATCTTCCAGGGTGGTCCAGTTGAAATTCTTCCCTTCCTCTACCTTGGAAGTGCCTACCATGCATCCAAGTGTGAGTTCCTCGCCAACTTGCACATCACAGCCCTGCTGAATGTCTCCCGGCGGACCTCCGAGGCCTGCACGACCCACCTACACTACAAATGGATCCCTGTGGAAGACAGCCACACGGCTGACATTAGCTCCCACTTTCAAGAAGCAATAGACTTTATTGGTAGGTTCAGCTGTCCCAACCCAGTTATTTTGGGAGCTCTCTTGGGGCATGAGTTCTTGGCTTTTGATGTCCTGGTAGGGGCTACTCTTCACTGAAAGCAAAGTGTTTTGTGTATATTGTCAAGAGTTGGAGCCAAGAAGGGATGCAGCCACCAAAAAGCCAGAGGGGAGGATCTGAGCTATTAATAGGAGCTTTAATTTGCAAGATAAATGAATTAATATAATTTTATGGCAGTACTCATTGCCGATCTTGTTATTGTTTCGAGCTGCTCAGGAGCAGAGTGCATCCCTGTGTAATGCTCCACACAAGGAAAGCAGGGGGGAGAATCTCCCTAACTGTGCTTCTACGTAGGTTGGGATATTTTTAAAAGCAAACAGAAGGCTGGAGCTAGCACTCCTTACGCACTGAGCCCCGAGAGCCCCAGCAGTTTTGGCAAACAGCTTTGGGGCAATTTGTTTTGCATTTCCAGCTAATTTTGGATTAAAGATAGCACCTGCCTCAAGCTCCATGCTTTATGCACAGAAAAGTTGGCATCTTTTGAATGCTTTCAGCATTCCTGTGAGGAAGTTGTCATATACTCCATTGTACATGCCTGAAAACGAAGGCCGGCCCCTCTGCTTGGGAAAGGGCTTTGACCTTTGGGTTTCTAGGCACTTGGTATTGCCTGCCCTTTGGCATCTTTTCTTTCTCCCATCCGTCTCCCAAGTGGGCTGGCCTGGCTGCTTTCTGTTTCAAACTTTCAAGCACCACTCCCCAACCTTTCCCAAGCCCTTCTTTCTCTTTAACATTCATCATTGTTGAAAGTGAGCTGTGGTTTTTCTGTATCTTGTTCAAAATGATGTTGGAGGGGAAAAGGCAGGTGTTAGGCGCAGCACTAACTACTTAGTGCAGAGAGCAGTTAAAGGGCACCCCGTGAGCCATGTGGTGGCCTTCTGTTCTGTACGTGGTTCCTGCTCCACAGGAACATCCCAGAGGCCAAAGGCTGAGCCTCTCCTGCTTGTCCCTGAACCTCTGAGCCGAGATGATGCCCTTGGAGTGTGAGAGGCAGCCAGAATGATGGGTTCAGGGTGGGAAACCCTTGACCTGTTCTGCCTGTCCCTGGGAAAGCCTTGCCCTTCTCAGCCTGATGTTTAATTACCTAGATAGCTACTTAATGAGGTCATGAAACCCGCCCCCGTCCAGTTCTCAGAACCCTCCCTCCTCATCCTGTGTGCGTATTTTGTCTGTGTAGTCTGTGTCTGTGCACTCACTTGTACAAACCACAGCCTTTTTAAAAACACAGGATGCTTTTTCTTAGACTTCATGCCCTGCCAATGGAAGGAGGGACTGAGCCTCCCCAGTGGGCTGAAATAGCACTGAGGGAAGGGGGTCACAGGGAAGGCAAGTCCCTAAGGGGTAGAGGGGGTTCCAGAGGTGGTGTACTCTAGGGCCTTGGCATTCCTGGATGTGGTCCCTCAGCCAGTTATAGTACACTACGCAGGAGGCCAGCAGGAACAAAGAGAAACCAGAATCACAACCCTGTGATTCCAGGGTGCTTGGGGGCTCTCCTTTGAGCTTATTTATAGGGACTACATTTTGTTTTGTTTTGTTTGGGGGTGGGTTTTGAATCAGTGAATTGGGGGTACCTCTAAGAGCTGCTGTAAGTGTCCTTTGGGGTTTTAACTCAGGGAAACTAAGGTTCCTCCCTGACACCTCAGAACTCTTATCTTTTAGATCTTGCAGATTCATTCTTGCACTTGGGGGTGGTGGATGGTAAGGGGACTTTTGTTTTTCCTTTCAAAAATCTTAAATGTTTTTGTACACTGTAACCTTACAGAGCGGCAGATACATTGAACTTCCTGTGATGTAATTGTTTCCTCATTAGCAAGGGAGGCAATTGGAAAGACTGTATGTTTTGTGGTTTCAATTCAATGTGTACCTATCTTTGATCTTTTACCCCTTCCCCTTTTTAACAGTTGTAGCTGTTTTGCAGGGTGGGGTGGAGCCACCCCCCCTTTTTGTCACATTGAGCTAAAGAATACTAACTGATGGCGGTAGCTTTATAGCAGCAACTCCCATTGTTGAGCAAGATGGAGTTTGTGAAAGCCATTTATATCTTCCGTCTGGTAGGCGTCACTTAGCCAGGGCTATAATTAGTGGCTGTGTGCTATTTATTGTATGTTTGGTGGGAGCTGAGCCGAGCCTCCCGCCCTGACACAGCAAGACAGGGTGCCCGTGGAGGCCAGAAGACCTCTGCCGGTGTGGGGGCGAGGTCATCGCATCAGGATCAGACCCAAAGAGGCAAGAATTGCTTCTCTTTGAGCTGGGACTTGTCTCAGAAAAAAATGTGCATATCCAATAAACTTGCACAATTTCAAGCATTTTCCAATTCCTTCTTGAAAGCTATCAGTGTAACCCCACTTCATTTAGATGGTGCCCCCAGGAAGTGGGGGGGGTCTCTCCAAGTCTAGCGCCTCCAGTGGCAGGATCTGTGCGAGTATCCTGGGGATCTGGAAAGCTGCTGGAAGGATTATAAAGATCCTGGATGGATCCTGGTATTGGTAGGACCCCAAAAGCTCTATTCTCACCTGTGCAGAAGTCTAGTGTACACCACAGTTCTCAAGCAGGCATGACAGTTTGATGAGTAGGTCGCTTTGGTGTTTAATTCTTGTATTCTGGCATTGCTTTATTCTAATCCCTACTCACTCCCATGATCTTTTCTTCTTTCCAGACTGTGTCAGGGAAAACGGAGGCAAGGTCCTGGTCCACTGTGAGGCTGGGATCTCCCGCTCACCCACCATCTGTATGGCTTACCTCATGAAAACCAAGCAGTTCCGCTTGAAGGAGGCCTTTGAGTACATCAAGCAGAGGAGGAGCGTGATCTCGCCCAACTTTGGCTTCATGGGTCAGCTCCTGCAGTACGAATCTGAGATCCTGCCTTCGACGCCCACCCCACAGCCGCCCTCCTGCCAAGGGGAGGCCGCGGGCTCCTCGTTGCTAGGCCACTTGCAGACATTGAGCCCCGATGTGCAAGGAGCCTACTGCACATTCCCTGCCTCCGTGCTGGCACCGGTGCCCACCCACTCGACGGTCTCAGAGCTCTGCAGGAGCCCTGTGGCCACAGCTACGTCCTGCTGAAACTGGGGTGGAGGAGCCAGCCCGGCCCCAAGTGCAACTGTGATTTTGTTTCTTAAACTCGTGGACATTTCATACCTGTGCAATACTGAAGGCCTCACTCTGTCCCACTGCCCCAGTGCAATGGTGAGTGGTCACCAGGCTTGCAAATGAACTTCAGACTGACCTCAGAGATAGGTTCTCTGGACTGAAGGAAGGCCAAGCCATTAGGAGAGCACAGGCGTGCTGACTACTGTACCTCCAGACCCCCACCCCTCTTGGGACTGCACAGTCCTCACACCTCAGAGTTCGCCTTTTCATTTCAAGTGTAAGGCAATAAATCCTGCAGCAATGTAGGAGACCAGGAGAAAAGGCGGTTCCGAAGCCAATTTTGAAGGAAGCACAATTCCCACCTTATTTTTTGAATCTTGGCAGTCTTCAGTGTCTGTCTCTGTTGCTCCAGGGCATAAGCTGACCATTATCTAGTCAGGAAAGTCACCCTCCTAGGTTTGTAGGGACACGAGCTACAAGCTGATTTGAACCCTAAAAAGTTTTTGAGATTTCTTCTTGGGTCTGATGGGGAGGCAGTTGGTTGAAGTAGCAAGACATTGATTTTCTAGGTTTCTTTTCCACTGTGGGTCTTCCCTGACCTTAGACTTTGGCATTCTTATTCATACTTGAACCTGTCTCATTGCACCTCTCCTCAAAGAAACTATTTGAGAAGCATTTTTCAGACCATAGACTATCTACTGGTGACAGTAGATGCCAGGAGGAAAAGGGTACCGGCTAGGTATTCTGGGTCAGTGATGTCAGAAATTGTCAGCTTACTGTCCTGTATGATCTGTGCTTGTGTCTCCTCTCGTGTGACATTTGTTTTCTTCCCTGCCCCTGGGGGTTGTCTTTTAGCTTTTGACTTCTGAGATTTGCAGATTTTGCAGTGTGGTACTACTTTTTTGTCTGTAGGTTACGTCTCCAGGGGAAAAGGCAATAATTTTTTTAAAACCCATGCAAATGTGAAAAAAAAAAAACAGTATGTTACTGGTTATTGTTGTTATTGTTTTTTTTATAGTGCAAAATAAAAATAGTAAAAGGAAAAAGCACTCCTTCGAGTTATTGGTGAATTGGAGGAATACCTTTAGGTGGGGACCC